CAGGCGGATCTCTGTGAGTTCGAGGCCAGCCTGGGCTACCAAGTGAGTCCCAGGAAAGGCGCAAAGCTACACAGAGAAACCCTGCCTCGAAAAATCAAAAAAACAAACAAACAAACAAAAAAAGTCCCCTCCTGGCTTTATTGGGCAGGTACATCTGCTGTCTCTTCCATTTGCCCCCTCCCTCCCCCTGAGGGTCTGGTGTGCAGTGTAAAGTGAATGTGTGCGGGTCAGTGTGTTCATGCTGCAGGCTTCTTTCCCGAGTGTGGTTGGAGGTGTTGGCACTGGATAACGTTATTATCTTGTCACTGAGCGAGTGTCTCTTGGCAGGGTTGGTTGGTTTGGTTTGGTGTTTTGCAGGCTCTCACTATTACCTCAGCTGAACCAGAACTCACTGTGTAGACCAGCCTGGCCTGGACCCCGAGAGAGTCCTGCCGCAGCCTCCTGAGTGCTGGTTTGCAGGCGTGAACCACCACTGCCTGATTATTTTCCTCTTTTTCCGTGTGTGTGTGTGTGTGTGTGTGTGTGTGTGTGTGTGTGTGTGTGTGTGTGTGTGTGTGTCTCAGCACACATAAGGAGGTCAGAGAAGAGTTTGGAGGAATTGGCGCTCTCCTTCCCTCATGTGGGTCCTGGTGATTGAATTCAGGGCACCAAGCTTTATTGGCAAAGATTTACCCACTGAACCAACTCACTGACTAGCTTCATGGATAAGAATTTTAAAACATTAAATATCTAGGATGTGTTAAGTAGAGACATTTTTTTTCCATAAGAATTCATGGCACATGCCTTTAATGTGTACTAGGGAGACAGAGGGAGTCGAATCTCTGAGTTCGAGGCCATCCTAGTCTACACAGTGAGTTCCAGGACAACCAGAGTTACATAGAGAGACCTTGTCTCAGAAAAAGCAAAATTAAATAAATAATTCATCATATTGCCAGCTGAACGTTTATGTAAAGATGAAATCAAAGAGTAGACCAGGGCACTGCAGTAACTAGCAGTCCCTCTCTGAGCTGGCCCAGCCGCCACTGAGTCCAGGTGACGTGCTCATCCTAAAGTGATGTAGTTTACATCGTACCATGAAAATTACTGTAGTTAAAGGAGCCCATGAAGATTGCATTTTTGTCCTTCTCTAAATGACTCCACTTCTCAATGAAAACTCTTTACGGAACTGCTTAGGAAGCGTGTTTTTCTAATCTGTTGCAATGTATCTTTATTATTCTGAAACCAATCAAAAAGGAATAATTCGTTTTTATAATTTTTAGTTATTATTACATGTGTGTTTGTGTGTGTGTGCACATATGTGCACGACGTGCACTCCTGCCCATGCCACAAGCACATGGGGAAATCAGCAAACCACTTTGTGGGGTCAGTGCTGTCTTCAGACCTTTCAGTGTTTAAATGGGTTCTGGTTGCCAGGCCTGTGGGCCAAATGCTTTCACCTGCTGAGCCACCTTGCGGCCCCCAGTGGGTAGACTGTTTTTAATATCTGAGGTTCTAAAACATACAAATACTGGTGTTTGAGCACAGACTTCAGAAGTGACTGCTGGATTGTCATCATAGGTACATTGTAATGAGGTTTGTGTTTTCATTTGAACCAGCTCACTTGTGGATGAACTACAAGAAGGCGTCTTCCCAGTCCTGGGCACCTTACTGCAGCATATCTGTGCCAAGGTACTGTGTACTTCGGTGGTTACCGTATGTCAGTATTGCACACACAAAGATAGGTGCCGGCGTTTGTTCTTGAGCCTCACCGCAGGGAGCTCTTTAATAACAGATTCTCTCTTAAACAGTGCGCTTTTTCCTTGTTTTTTGTGGGTGTTCGCAGGCAGGGTCTTCCTGTATGCTGGCGGTAGGCTTGAATCACAACCCTCTCGCTCCTAGTCTCTTGAGTGCAGAGATGAAAGGCAAGCACCACCATACCCAGCCAACAAATGTTCCTTTAAAATATAAAATTTTTATTTTGGAAAATGATAGATGTGTACAGGAACAGGAAGGATGGTGTGAGTCAGCACATTTTCATAATTCATCAGTTTTGTTTGGTGTGTATATCCTGAACATACATGCGCACTGGTTTTTTTCTTCTGAAGCAAATTCCATCATATTGTTTCATCCCTAATATTTCAGTGTATTTCTTTATAAAGGATAAGAACTTTTAAAAGAACATAAAATATTTACTATCTAAAAGACAAACTAATATCAATTATCTAATCATGTTCTAGTCTTAAAAGTTTTTTTTTTTAATGTATATGCATGTTTTACCTGCATGTATATTTGTGCACATGTGTGTGCCTGGTGCTTATGGAGTCCAGAAAAGAGTCCTGGATCCCCTAGAACTGTAGTTAGAGATAGTTATGAGCCACTATGTGAGTGCTGAGAACTGAACCCAGATCCTTGGCAAGAGCAGTAAGCACTCTTTATTGCTAAGCCATCTCACTAGCTTCCATTCTCAAGTTTTTTACTAATATTTCATAAGTTTATGGAACTGTTTAAGCAAATGATTTTTAATTTGAACTATATCTACTGTGCATAGTCTCTGAAATTGTGTTTTCTGCAGAGGGTTATAGTTTAGTTTTCATTAGGGTATAAAAGCATAAAACTTGTTAGTCGTTTATCTGGTATTTAAAGATCATTGAGCTAATCACACCTGCTAATTTCCAGCTACACCATGAGCTTCAGTCATTCTGCAGTGGGTGGCCAGTCAGTTTTCTCTTATGTGTTCCAGGTGGTAGATAAAGCCGAGTATCGGACCTATGCAGCACAGTCCCTGGTCCAGCTGCTTAATAAACTTCCCTCTGAGGAATATGCTGCGTTCATCGCCTGGCTTCACAAATACTCACGGAGTTCTAAGGTAGGAGATGGGTTGTAAAAAAGCCTGGGTCCTGGCTCTGAGCACCACATGACAGCCAGGTCTGAATGCAGATGAGCTCTCTTCACTTTGGTTCTGACTCTTACTGATGGATTCCTCTGATTCTGCCTTGGCAGATTCCACACCGGGTTTTCACTCTTGATGTTGCATTAGCTCTCTTAGAGCTGCCTGAAAGAGAGGTGGATGACACTGTATTATTGGAGCATCAGAAGTTTCTAAAGCATAAATTCTTCGTGCAAGAAATTATATTTGATCGTTGCTTAGACAAGGCACCTACTGTCCGCAGCAAAGCGCTGTCCAGCTTTGCACATTGTCTGGAGTTGTCTGCTAGCAGCCCATCGGAGAGTATATTGGAGATCTTCATTAACAGTGAGTGGGAGAGGGGAGAGGCGTAACTAGGTGATATGAGGCCATGGGTCAAGACCCATATGGATGACCAAGAAAAAATAAACCAAAAAATAAACTGCAAGTGGATCATTCTTTGTTAAGGCCGTGTGTGTGTGTGTGTGTGTGTGTGTGTGTGTGTGTGTGTGTGTGTGTGTGTGTGATTTTAATTCATCCTCATAAACCACTTGATCATTTGTTATTAAACTACTGTATGTAGGCTCAACCCCAGGACCTCACACAACTAAGCATGTGTTGTACATCTTGAGCATATCTCTAATTTCAAATCCCTGTTTAAGAAGGGAAGCCTGATACATTTGAAACTCCTTTCTGAAGCCAAAGAAAGCTGTCAGCAGTTCCGAGCATGTCTGCTGACTGTGGCTCTGTGTGTTTATGTGGGATTTATACTCTTTTATCCGTCTGCTTACTTTCAGGTCCTTTAGTTTCAGGACTACAGAGTCGCTCTAGTACTTTACAGAGACACTCAACAGGTAATCATCAGTATTTTTCAAACACTGAATTTGCTCTTAAGGAAAAAAACAAAACTGTGCTGACTGTTAGTATGGCTCCTGATTCCATACTCGCTTGTCCTAATGATGTTCTTTTCTTCCTGGAAACTGAGGTCTGTTTCTGCCATTTTACCATCTGAGTAACATGCAGTGCCTGTGCTATTGAAATACAACAGACTTTTGCCTTAACCTCTTTTCCTTTTTATAGTGCTAACCAGTGGAAATTGGCAGTTGACGCAAAGCAACACTGATAATAATGGCGAAAGAACGCAGTCTGGAGGTACCCACACTTGTTCTTCCCGCTCCCTCTTGCTGCCTCTTCCTAGTGTGCCCCTTCCATCTCACGTGTGAGAACATCTGTGATAGTATACTTCTGAGTCTGCTTATTTCGCTTGACATGATCTCTAGCTTCATGCATTTCCCAGCAGGTGGCCTCATTGTGTTCTTCTATGTTGTTGAATAGAATCCCACCTGTGTGTGTATATCACATTCCCTATCTTTGTAGACACTGAGGTCAATCTGTGACTTGAGTGTTGTGAATAATGCCGCAATAGGCATGAAAGTATAGGTATATCTGTTGTATATTGATTTCTTCCAGTGAAAAACCCATGTACATGTGATAAAGCTGAGTCATATGACAGTTCTGATTTTATTTTAGTAAGAACTGCTTATTATTGTGTATACATTTGAGGCAGTGTCTCACTATGCATCCTTCGGCCTTGGCAGCCCTTGCCTCCCTCCCAAGTGCTGGTTTAAAGGCATACACCACCATACCCAAACAAGAAAGTCATTTCTACCGGCAGTGTGTCAGGATTGCGTTTCACTTGCCAGAATTGGTTGTTTGGTTTATGTTTTTGAGACAGAGTCTTTTGTAGCCAAGGATGATGTGCTCCTAAATCCTCCACATCCCAAGTGCTGTGGTCACAGGAGTACACCGCTCTATCCAGTTTGTGAAAAGTTTAGGGTGTTAAAATCACCTCCTGTTTCACTGTCAGAAGTGTTTGTTCTTATGAAGTTGAATGTATTGGCTTTTGGTATATATTTGTTCATGATTGCATCCTTTTGATATATTCTCTACTAATTATTTATTTATTTATTTTGAGGCAAGTTTCTCTGGGTAGCCCTGGCTATCCTAGAACTCACTTTGTAGACCAGGCTAACCTTGAACTCAGAGATCCACGTGCCTCTGCCTCCCAAATGCTGGGATCAAAGGCGTGCGCCACCACCACCTGGTATTGGCATAGATAGATTTAGATAGATAGATAGATAGATAGATAGATAGATAGATAGATAGATAGATAGATAGATATTCTTTATTTTAGCAATATGATTATCTCTTCTGACTAATTATGGCTTGAAGTCTGCCCTATACTATACCAATATTGCTACTTCTGCCTGCTTCCGGGTTTCATTTGCTTAGAATATCATTTCCTATCATTTTACTTCAGTCTTTGTATATGTTTGCTAACAAGGAATATTCTTTTTTAAAAAAAACTAATTCTTTAGGAATTTCATATCGTGTACCCCAATCCCACTCACCTGCCAGTCCCTCCATATTGTCCCCTCACCCCTGCAGCATCCCCCCAGAAGAAACCTCCCCCCAAAAATTTAATTAGAAACAATAACAACCCAAAAAAACCACATCACCCCTCCATCTTTACAACACCTCTTTATTCGTCCTAGTGGCATTGGGAGCTGCGGTGTGTCACACAGTATTGGACCCCCTTGTCCAATCAGCCGCACCCACAGAGTGTTCATCGCAATGAGTCTTTGGTCTGGTTCAAGGCCTCTGGCACACCATCATCCCTGGAACCTCACTGAAACTCCTCTCGGACATCCTGCTGTTGCCCTGAGTCATGGAGATCCTGTGGTTATTGTTCCACACGCACTCCAGCAGGGTAGATGTTAGGGTGGGCCAACCCAAGGCCCAGGATGTGGCTCTGGGTGGTAGCTGATCTAGTTGGTGTGGGCCACTGGCACCACCACCTTTCACCTCCTCAGGCAAGGGGCTCACCCACCAGCATGGTTCCTATGACCCTCTGTGGCAACACAGGCCATGGACATCATGGCGGACCCTAGCTGCAGCAGGAACACAGACCCAGACAAGGCCCTCGGCAGCATCTCTGGCCTGGACATCAACATGGATCTGGTGGCACCAAGGCCCAAGGAATATTTCTTACAGGCAGCAAACAGTTGTTGTTTTTAAGCCAGACAGCCTGTGGTGGGTTTTTGATTTTTTGATTTATTTGTTTGTTTGTTTGTTTGGTTTGGTTTGGTTTTTGGTTTTTCAAGACAAGGCTTCTTTGTGTTGCCCTGGCTGTCCTGGAACTCTGTAGACCAGGCTGGCCTTGAACTCAGAGATCCACCTGCCTCTGCCTCCTGAGTGCTGGAGTTAAAGGCGTGTGCCACCACTGCCCAGCCCAGCCTGTGTGTTTTAATTAGAGAATTAAGACCACATTCAAGGTTACTATTGGAAGGTACATAGTAATTCCCATCGTTTGTCGTTTTCCTAATACTTAGGCTTGTTTATTGCTCTTCTGCAGCCTTCCCCCATGCTCTTGAGGCTGTTTGTCCTCTGTGTAGGGATTTCTTTGTCTTCTGTAGTGTTTACTTAGACGTCATAAAGTTCTTTAGTCTGTGTTTATCTTCAAAGCACTTTCTCTTGATGCTGAAAGCTAGCTATTCTGCTTATAATGATCTGATCTGCCAGGGTTTTGTTTTTGTTTTTCCTTTGGTGGGCTTGTTTACATAAGAGAGATGGTATTTCTCTTGTGGGTTTCATATTCTTTCTCTCTTCTGTCCTCTTAAAAAACAACCAGGTCATGTTGGCTTGGGGTGCAAACACTTCCTTTTTTAAATCAATGTTCTTTCCCAAGATTTGGGAAATTTCCTATTTCATTGAGTAAGGTTCTTTTTGGTTTGGGTTCTGTTTTTGACTTTAATCTCCATGCCGCCTTCTATACTTAATCTGTTATTTTGATCCCTCCCCAGACTGTATGCGTGTTCTGTTCCTAATTCATTTTTGTCTTTATTACTGCCTGGGATCTTTGATTCATCTACTTTGTCTTCACATTTTGAGATACTTTTGCTTGATCCAGTCAGCTAGTAAGGCTTTCTGCTCAGCTTTTATTTCACTTAGTAAATTTTTTATTACCAAGCTTTGTTTTTTCAAAATTTCTCTCTTTATTGAATTTCTTATTCATAAACTATATTATTAATTTTAATCTATTCAGTTGTTTTTCTATATTTTTTCTTAATTCTTTTGAATTCTTCACCCTCCATCTCAAATACTTCAGAATTTTTGGAGTCAGTTTCTAAAGAATTATGAACTTTTGGAAATGTCACATTGCTTTGTTTTTAATACTACTTGTATTTCTGTGTTAAGATTTGTGCGTTTTCGGGATGGACATGCCTTCCCCTTTTGTCTGAGGACCTCTTTAGAGAGCACACTAGTGCTGGCTAGTTTTATGTCAACTTGACCCAAGTTAGCGCCACTTGGGAAGAGGGAACCTCAACTGAGAAAATGCCCCCACCAGACTGGTCAGCGGGTAAGCTTGTGAGACATTGGTTTTTGGTGTGGGAGGGGCCCCCTGCGCACTGTGGGCTGTGCCGCCCCTGGAGAGAAGCCCTGAGGAGCAAGGGTAGTAAACAGAATTCCTCTAGGGCAGTGGTTCTCAACCTCCCTAATGCTGCAACCCGTTAATACAGTCCTCGGGTTTTGGTGACCCCCCAACCATAAAATTACTTCATTGCTACTTCCTAACCTTAATTTTGCTGCTGTTATGACTCATAATGTAAATATCTGACGTGCAGGATACCTGATATGTGACTCCCCAAATGAGGTCAAGACTGCAGGTTGGCCTCTGTGGCCTCAGCTTCAGACTGTGCCTTGGGTTTTCGCTCTGTTTTTCTCGGTAATGGAATGTGACCTAAGACTTGCAAGCAGAAATAAACCCTTTCCGCCTCAAGTTGTTTGTCATGGTGTTATATCACAGCGATAGAAACCCTAACTAAGGCAGCCCCTGCACTATTTTGCTCCTGGGGATATCTATTCTTGTGAAGTATCACATACATTTCCAGTTGGATTTTGTAGTACAGTTCCCATTACTTCTGTGGTGGGACTTGGTGCATTTTGATAGAGGTTGACATAGTTAGGCCAGCACTTGAGAGTTCTGCTTTCTTTGTGCATCTCCCAGGGATGGAGACTTACAGATGAGGCAGATGTGCTGTAAACAGCCAAACCACTGGGTCCTTCCTGTCTAATTACCCCTTTAGTCTTGTCAGTAATGTATGGCCGTGGAGCAGTCTGTGCAGCAGCCCAGGTGGACACGGTGTGCAGGAGTCTTCTCTGCTGTACTGCAGGGGTGGAGCAGTCTGTGCAGCAGCCCCGGAGGACACGGTGTGCAGGAGTCTTCCTTCCCTCTGCTGTACTGCAGGGGTGCGGCAGTCTGTGCAGCAGCCCCGGTGGACACGGTGTGCAGGAGACTTCGTTTCCTCCTCTGTACTGCAGGGGTGGAGCAGTCTGTGCAGCAGCCCCGGTGTGTAGGAGTCTTCCTTCCCTCTGCTGTTACTGCAGAGGTGGAGCAGTCTGTGCAGCAGCCCCCAGCAGCCCCGGTGTGCAGGAGTCTTCCTTCTCTCTGCTGTACTGCAGGGGTGGGTAACTGCCAGCTCCTTCTCTCTAGCCAGGTCTGCTATAGCCTGATCGTCAGCTTGAGCTTTTCTCTCCCATATTCTTTGAGTTGAAGTATCCACTCACATTCAAGCAAGGGCAACTTGTCTACAGAGCTAGGTGTTTTCTTTCCGTGGCTGGGAAAGGAGCTCAGTGGCAGAGCGTTTTGTGTAATGTAGTCAAAGCATTTTGCCAGACAGTAGTAACAGCGACAAGTATAAAGTAGAAGCCAAGTACCACTTCCCATATCCATATTCCACACCCGGATTCCGACAACAGGAGTGGTGGGATAGGAGTATTCTGAAACAGAAACGTTTTTGTTTTCTTGTTTTGTTTTTGTTTTTGTTTGTTTTTTGTTTTTCGAGACAGGGTTTCTCTTGTGTAGCTTTGCGCCTTTCCTGGAACTCACTTTGTAGCCCAGGCTGGCCTTGAACTCACAGAGATCCGCCTGCCTCTGCCTCCCGAGTGCTGGGATTAAAGGCGTGCGCCACCACCGCCCGGCCTTGTTTTCTTGTTTTTAAGAAATGTTTTATTGGATTAGTGCGTGCGTGCGTGCGTGCGTGCGTGCGTGGTCTGTGTGTATGTGTGTTTAGGCATGCATGCCATGGGTG